ATTTCAGTCAAAAATATATTTATTTTACATGAAAAGATATATATATAAATATTATTTATCTATAGAATTAACGAAATAGAATTTTACTGATTGGGAAAATTCAAAAAGTGATAAAGAAAAACTTTTAGAATAATATAAAAACAACACGCACACACACACACGCACGCACACCCCTTAAAAAAAAAAAAAAACATTTTCTAAATAAAGTTAAGCTCTTACTTTCTATCTATCTATCTTTCTATCTCTATCTTTCTCTCTTTCTCTCTCTCTATATATATTTGGTTTATCTTATCCTTTTCTTCTAGTCTGGGCAAAGAGCTTTTATATTTATATATATATATATATTTAATTATTGACGTAATCATACAAAGATGTTGTTTATATAAATATATGATTCATTTTTGTATATATTATATGTATATTCACAAAACGAGATTTATTGATTAACAAAATTTTTGTTGCATTTTTTTTTCCATTTGTTTTCCCTTTTTATCATAAAAACATTACAATAAATAAAATGATAATAATAATAATAATGAAAAAAAAATTTTTTTTGCCAAGAAAAACATAGAGAGAGAGAGAGAGAGAGAGAGAGAAAATCGATAGAGAATATATTAAAAATAAAAAGGACAGGGTTTTTTTTTTACATCTCTCTCACTCTCTCTCTCTCCCCCTATCCCCTCTCTCCCCTTTCTCTCTCTCTCTATTAGTTTTTTTTCCCCGTTCTGTTTTATGTCATTTTTCTAATTTGTTTTTTATTATTATTATTTAACATATATGAATGACAATATCAAATTGCGTGTGTGTGTTTTTTTTTAAATAACGGGAAATAATTTTTTACCATTTCAAACATATATAAAAATTATTATTATTATTATTATTATTATTGTTTTAAATCATATTAAAACAATTTGCCGAGAGGAGAGTTTAGTTTTTAATAGGTTATTATTATTATTATTAGTACCCAGGTTTAATTTTTTAAAGTGGCGCACATGCAAACTCATTTTGCAAAAAAATCACTTATTTATAAAAGAAAAAAAAAAGTTTGGGAAGGGAGATGGGCTGGGGGGTTGGGGGTTTACGTAGTTTTCCCATGAAATTTTTTTCCCCCTCGTCGCATACCGTCGAAAAAATAAATAAATAATTTTATTAATCTCAATGGGACGTGTCGTGTGTGTGCGTGTGCGTGTTATTTTTCACAAGTTTTAGGGTTAAAATTAAATAAAAAAAAAAAAAAAACAACTAAATTTTGTTCTCGTGTGCAAAATTGATTTTTTATTAATAATAATATTATTTTAAAAATTTAATAATCCTTTTACAAATACAAAATTCACATGAATTTATGACGAATAATAATAATAATAATAATAATAATAATAACGATTTAAGATAGTTTTAATGTACATACAATGTTAATTGTTATTAATCCACGTTATTACGGATTTTAAATAAAATCAATGTTAAATTTATGTATTAATAAATATCATCATTATGTATAAGAATACCTTATGATGATCATAAAAATTAAAAACAATAAAATAATACATTTCATCATCATTATTATTATTATTTAAAGTCGTTCGAAGTATCATTTAAATGAGAAAATATAAATCTATATCTACGCTTTTTAATTACAAAAAAAATTTAATTAAAAAAAAATTGATTTTAACATTATCATCATCATTATCATCATCATGAATGAAGGAAGCAGACGATTTTACGAAGTTGTTTATATATAATGTAGAAAAACTTCTGCAACCGAGATCATGTTTAAATAAATTTTTTACGCCTTTTTTTTTTTTTTTTTTTTAGTGCAACTTTAAACGGTTTCGTTAAGATAAGATAAAAATTATATATATATATATATATATTTAATGGTTGTTGTCGCGCACGCACACACACACACACACACACACACACGATAATGTGTAATTTCGGGTTGTTGTATTTTTTTTATTAATTTTTTTGTTGTCATTTATTTAATGTAAAAAAAAAAAAATGAAGAACGATGTCAAGGACCTTAGTAAAAAAAAAAAAATCAATAATGAATTTTATGTAAAAAATTTTCTTTTAAATTATACAAAAAAAGGAAGACATATTGCAAAAGACTCTAGCAGAAGTTTTTTAAAAAAGAGGGACAATGGCGTATATATATGTGAGAGAGAGAGAGAGAGAGAGAGTGTGTATGTGTGTGTCAACAACGATGCTGGGCTTTGGAAGAGGGTGAATACATGGGAATAGTAGTTCAATTGTTCATTTCCCAGCACTGCACTTGCTTTGCCCTTACGTCGCCGCCTGCCCGCGTGACCGGCCGCCTCCACCTTGCATTTTATATATATACGTGCGGTTTTAATGTAAAAATGGCATAACTACAATATATATCCAATCGATGTCTTTTTAAATTTTTTTAAAGTAAGAAATAAGATCGGCGTCTGTGAAATAAAAACCAGCAGAAGATTTTAATAATAATAATAATAATAATAATAATGTAATTGAAAACTCATTGTTTCTTTAGGGTTGGTAGTAATCTGGAATAATTTCGTTCCAGTTTTTTTTTTTTTTTTTTTTTTTTTTTTTTTAATATGACCCTGTTTATTTGTTAATGAATCATGTTGTGATAGTGATAGTCACGGCCTTGTTGCAAAACATTCAAAAGAGCCACCGTGAGACCTTTAAACCAATACCAACATACAAAAACCAAAACAATAGCCAACATTTAAAATAATAATAATAATAAAAAGCTTGAGAGTATACGTATTAAATTTTTAAATCCCCCCCCAAAAAAAAAAAAAAAATAATTTTTCACCTCTATTACTTACATCCTCCATTTTTTTTTCTTTCGTCATACATTACAAATAAATATCGAGTATTATAAAGTCAGTCGGTAAATAATAATAATAATAATAATAATAATAATAATTATCTAATAATACCAAATAAGTACCTTTTAAGCTTTTTTTTTGTTTTGTGTTAAACCTTGAAAATTAACTTGCAATATTTTTTTTCCAAACGACTTCACGTTTTTTTTTTTTGTTCGACGTGTAAATTATTTAATTAAATTTAAATTTAATTAATTTTCTATAAAATATTTATTTGTACGTAATAATAATAATAATAGTTACACTACATTGAAATAATTTGTTAACAACGTAGTTTTTTTTTTCATTTTCGAAATATAAATTTAATCATTAAATTGGATTAAATAATGTGTGTGTGTGTGTAATTGATAATAAACAATAATTACATTATGTATATTATCAGTAATTAAAATTAATAATTAAAATTATTATTATTATTATTATTATTATTGCATTATAAAATAATTTATTTTTTAATAAGTCGTTGAAATTATTCATATAAAATTTAGCTTACGATAATTATTTTTTACATTTGTTCGATTGGTGTTTTTTTTTTATTATTATTATTTTATTACTACCGTGATAATTGATAAATATAGGAAAATAAATTACGATGGTGTAAAATCTAAAACCACAAAAATTTCAAATTGAAAAAAAAAAAAAAAAAAAAAAAAATTTAAATTTTACAAGGACGACGTAGTAACAATCGCATTAATAATAATAAAACGCCATATTAATAAAATTTTTTCACGCTTCATTTTTAAATGATTGACAAAAGTGTCAATAATAATAATAATAATAATAATAATTACTCGAAATAATTTTTTTTTTTTTTAATAAATTCGAAAACAAAAAAAAGTGGCTTTAAAGTGTTTTTTTTTTCTTTTTTAAACCGATGTGTGAAAATTAACAAAAAAAAAAAAAAAAAATTTGTTGTTTTGTAAATAAAAATGTGTGTTGGATCAAACAAACAAAAAATAAAATTTAAACAAACTTTTCATTTATTATCATTATTATTATTAAATTTTTTTTTCATTGTGAGAAACGATGAATGAAATATTTTTTTAAAAAAAACCAAATTCGTTTATTTTTCTGGAAAAGATTTCTCTACGTAAAAAAAAAAAAAAAAAAAAAAAATTATTTTTATTAATTATAAATAACACATATAATTTAAAAATATAATAATAATAATAATAATTGTAAGAAAATAAATGAAATTCTCGTTTAAAAAAAATTTTTTTTTGTATTTTCATTTTGGTTGTTGTTATTCTAGGAACCTTATTATGGAGGACAGGTATGGAAACGTTTGTTACGTTGCGCACAGATGCACTAGAACAAAAGAAGGCGTCATTTGGTGGAAGAGTTCATTAATATTAAATTTTATACATTTAAAAATAATACAATTTATTGTTTTTACCGAACAAAATAAAACGTTATAAATAAATTTACATTAAAAATTAATTTTTTTTTTTTTTTTTTTATTTTATTTTCAAATTTAGAAATTCTTATTTGGTAAATGGTTTTTTTTTTAAAATTTTTTGAAAATAAAATGACGATGGAAATTATTATAATTTGTTATAATGATTCCATGAATAAACATAATAATTGAATATTTATGTATATATATTTCTACAAATCGAATATTACTAACGTTGAAGAAATTTTAGTATAAAACAAACCGGAAAAGAAAAATTGTAGGTTTTTGCATTAAAAAAAAAAAATAAGAAGAAAAAATGGGAGCCGGAAAATCCCGTGTCTTAAGGCATCGAATGATTCTACTGTTCATTCATATAAATTCCCCATGATATTGTCGGCTGTAATTCACATAAATCCTTTTTCCATTAAACTGTTCAATTGCCATGTGGGACTATAAACAACGTGGTCCCTCACTCCAGGGCCGCATCAGCTGTTACCCTGTTCCCCGTGAAATAGCATAAAAATTCCTTTTTACAAATATTAAATTATTAACATAAGAAGACGACATAAACTCGTTTTTTATCGTCGAATCTTACGGGTTTTCTAAAGAAAAAAATCTTGATTTACAATTATTCCCGATTAAATATAAATTGAATAATTTAACTCGTTTTATTACATACGAAAGAAGAGTCTTTTTACTTTAAATAATTTCAATATCTTGCGCATATGGTGAATCGACAGTGCGCAGACTCAGTGCGTAAGTGCCCCTCCATTTGAAGAACGCGTCAGTCGTGAGCTATGTCTTCAGCGAAGAGGTTATGTTGTGCTCGCCTAGGATCTGTAAACGGTAATTGCTCTCAAGAAAATGGCGGCGTTATTAGTGGTTTTTATAGCAGTAGCTCGTTTTTGTTCGGTCCCAGTGGAATTAGTGAATATAGATATTGTGTTAATAAAAATAAAAAATCACCGGACACGCTATTGGATATAACGGCGAAAATCGTGGCTGAAAATATACCATTTCAGCGTATTGAGGAGAGATATGATCGGATTCCCGAACCTGTTCAAAGAAGGGTCATTTTTTGGTCCTTCCCAAGAGACGAAAGGGATATATGCATGTATTCGTCTCTCTCCCGTGTTCCTCCAGTGCCCTCCACTGACCATCAAAACCTTTCGTTCTATAAAGGTCTTAAGTTGGTGGAGTCTGGTTGCGTTGATAGCGTCCTTCAAGTCGGTGAGTTTATGATATGATTAATTAAAACATGATTCGCATGTTTTTTCTTTTTTTTTTTTTCATTTTCATTTATTATTATTATTATTATTATTATTATTATTATTATTTCCTTTCTTCCTGTTCTTCATCTCGTGTGAGTTCTTGGTAAAGCAAACACACACACACACACACACACGTATTCGTTGTAATTTTTTGAGTAATGCGGGGGGGGGGCGAAGGGAAGGTAAGGAGGGGAAATGAATGCTCAATAATTACCTAATATTATTTTTTCTTTATGCACGACGGATTCTTTACGTTTCTTTTGATTTTTTTTTTTTTTTTTTTTAAATGATATTGGAATTAGGGAACGTGGGAAAAGAAAAGGCGAAATTACAATTTCGTTTATTAGAATCATGCATTCTTACTTATTTATTTTTTTTTTTTTTTTGGATGATTGCGTTATGGTTGTTACGTATTTTAACCGTCAATAAAAAACCGGCCGGTTTTTTTTATTTATTTAAATAAATTTATTTATGAATAAGAGGGTACATTACGTAAAACACAATAAAGTAAATATGAATTTTTTTTTTATTATTTCTCACATTATTGATTAAAAAAAAAGAAAATTTCTTTTGACTGAATCATCGGTTGTTCACGACTCACGGTTTTTCTTTTTCGTTTTTGTTTTTGCTGTTGGAAAACGTTTTCAAAGTTTATAGGAAAACTCTTAATCCCCTCCCGTTTCAAAAAAAAAAAAAAAATATGAAACCGTACCTTAAAATAGTAATTGTGTAATAAGAACATTTGATTGTTTTTTTTTTTTTTTTTTACGCCCCGATTACATAATAACAAATTGTTTTTCTCTCTCTCTCTCGTTTTTCACCCTTCGTGTTGCCCTTGAATGGCCTTGGCCTCACTCAAGGTTGATGTCTCTAGGCTTCTTCTTAGCACATCGATCTGGTGGTAATGCCAGGTCTTTGGAAAAAAAATCTGGAATCTTTTTTTTTTTTCTTTTTTCTTGCTCTCTCTCTCTCTCTCTCTCTCTCTCTCGGTGTAATATCTTATTAATTATTTTGTAATTTTATTATTTACATTTACATTTAAAACATGGATTCATATCGATCGATATTAACAAACGTCATGTAACAACTTTGTAAAATTCTTCTTCTTTCATGCCTTTGGTATTTTTTTTTTTTTTTGTACATGGAGTTGTACATATCGAGTCAGACTTATTTAATAATACATTACGCGTACCTTTAGAGAGAGAGAGAGAGAGAAAAAAAAGAAGGTATAATTATTGTATGCGACTTGTGAGTATCATATTGGTTGGTTATATAGCTAAAAGGTTTCGAGTGGTACAGGTTTTTTTGTGTGTGTGTGTGTGTGTTCGGAACCCGAAGCCATAACGAAATGTTTTTTTTTGTGCGTTAATTGTGTAAGTGTAATGACTGCGTGCATGTGAATAATTCACATATGTATATATATTGAGAATTAAAAGTTGAGAACATGGCCAACTGTTGGCCAAATGCAATGGTCTCATTCAAGGTTGCTTGGGTAAAATTATTATTAATGAAATGATATTTTGAACGAAATGAACGTTTTAAAATGAAGGTCTAAATGAAAAAAAAAAAAAAAAAGAGTGATTATTTGTGCGCGATTATAATTTTTAAAAGTTTCTATTATTATTCTGGTTTTTTTTTAAAAAAAAAAAAAACTTTTTGTTGTTGTTGTTGTTGTTGCTCCTTCTAAATTGATACGTTTGTTTGTTGTTATCCATTTTTTTATTATTATTATTCGTTGGCTTTGTTTTAAATCCAGCGTAACTGATTTGATTTGTTGTTGTTGTTACCTTGTTTGTTACCTGGCTTATTGGTACTACTTTTTGATCAAAAAAAGTTTGTTTCGATGTAACATACCGAGAGATTTCGATTATGCTGAATTTTCACGCACTTAAAACTTCCTCAATTATGACAACCACCGACGACGACTCTTTTAATAAATAAAATACATTTAAATATAATAATTCATACAACGAATCCACACATGCACATCTGCTTTATAAGTGGTTGACATTTCCTATGTATCATGTGATCATTATGATGACAGACCGTGACCAGGCTCTGCTTCCTCCATTTCCAACGTTTTAAACAAAAAAAAGTGAATTTTTAAACGCAAGCTTTTGGAAAAAAAAAAAAAAAAAATTTAGGTGCGGTTTTAATTACCACGGATTTTTTTTTTTTTAACGATTAAATTACAGCAGAATGAAAAAAGGGAATATGAAAGTGCTGCTGCTGATGTTTTGAAATTTCTAAATGAAATTTTTTCTTTTTTTTCGGTGTCCCACTCGTGAGGTGTCGTTTTCTCTCTCTCTCTCTAGCTCGTGATTATTTCTTATCATTAATAATAATAATAACGATGGCGTTACGTTTTTTGGAAAAGATTATTATTATTTTTACTTAGTCTGTCAAAGATGTATTTGATTTCGGTTGTTGTTGTTGTTTCTTGTTGCGTTTTCAAATTGTTTTTCCACGGATTACATACAAATCGTTCAATGTGATTAATAATAATAATAATAAGTTTTTAGTATGATTGAGAAATTTTACTTCTTTTTTTTGGTCGTTTCGGGTAGAAATATTGTTTGCAGAATTTAAAAATTGATTTGCCATCAGTAAATTATTCTTCGTCTTTTTCTTTCTCTCTTTCAAAAGCAGTTTTTTTTTTTTTGTTTCGGCATGTGTGTACATCCGCAACAAATGTTTAAACCCCCCCCCCCTTTTTTTTTTTTGGAAAACACCCTCGAATGCATGTAATTTCGTTTCTGCCACTCACGCGTCAGACTTTGTGAATGACACGTTCTGCTTGCCTTCAGGAGATAATATTAAGAAACTTTCAAATTAGTCTCTCTTTCTCTCTCTCTCTCTCTGTGTAATGCTCGAGTTAAATATTTTCTTCTCGCGTATGTGTGAAATGTATATTTTTTTTCCCCCCCAAAAAAAAGACAGGGAAGTATTCAAGAAAAGAAAAAAAAATGAAAAGACGAGAGTTTTACTCTTTATATTCAAAGTTTTTTGTTTTTTCCATCATGAGTATTGTAAATAAAAAAAAATTTTAATTTTAATTTTATTTTATCATTTTTAATTATTTTCAATTTTTTATTCAATTTAAAACAAAAAAAAAAAACGTCCATCAAATTTAATTATGTTCGTTTTTTTTTTTTTAAATAAAAAAACTAAATAAATAAAAGATGGATAATTTAATTTTTAAAAAAAAAGTATATTTTAATGAATATTAAAAAGTCCTTGAAGTTTTATTATTATTATTATTAATGTGTAAGTAATAAATTTAGTAACCTTCGTGTGTTTAGTATTTGAAAAAAGAATTATAATAATAATAATAATTCCAAGTTTAAAAAAAGAAAAGAAAATTTATATAAAACGTTTTTGTAGTAGTGATCTGGGTGATTCGTAAAAAAAAAAAGATTCAAATGACGAGCAGGTGAAAAATAAATAATAATAATAATAATAATTCTCTCGTTTTAAATTCTGCGTTCGAAAACCATTGAAAAAAAAAAAAAAAAAATGAATTGCTTGAATTCTGTCAACCAATGAATGAATGTTTGTGTGTCCATATTTTGTTTCGGTATTTTCATGTCATTGCCAGGCAGGCCCATCCGAGTCCGCCGCAATCATTTTGGTTAATTTTTTTTTTTAGTAAAATTCGTTTTGTTCGAAATATGACGGGGGGAGGGGAGGGGGAGAGGGTCGCCTTCCTTGGTCTACTGAGTCCTTTTACCAAAAAAAATTTTTATCATTCCAGGATAAAGTGATTGATGATCATTCGTCGTTGGAAAAATTGTTATTGTAATTATTATTTCACCTTGTGCTCACACACGAAAAAAATAAATTTTATCAAATAATAATAATGATGATAATAATAATGCCACGGACTTTTCATCTTTAAAACTTTTGACGGTCTCATTTTTATAAGCAAGGATAAAAAATAATAATAATAATAAGGTAGAGAGGAACGAATTGTTTAAAAGTTTAAGTGATAATTTAAAAACTTCAAAGGCCCCCAATTTCCCCCAATTTAACAAAAAAAAAAATTGTTAATGATTTGTCGAATTGATTTGATCACGTGACGTAAATAAATTTTGCGGGGACAATGCATATTAAATATTAATTAAACGTTAACGCCGAATTATTACGCGAAAACATAAATCAAAGCGCGTGTGCGTGCGTGAGTGCGTGCGTGTGCGTGTGCGTGTGCGTGTTCGATACTTGTATGTATGTGTATACAATGTTTTAAAATGAGTACACATTGAGCCGTAGTATCAGTGTTTACGTAGCAGAAATTGCGATTTCCTTGTTTGAACTCAAACATATAAAGAGGTTTTGATTAGGTTCAAATTATTATGAGAGAGAGAGAGTGAGAGAGTGAGTAAGAGAGAGAGAGAAGAAGGAAAGGTAAAAGGGAGTAAGGGAAATGTGAAAAATCTTTTGGCTGTCGTATCAATCACGTCGGGGCGGGGGGGGGGATAAGGAATTTTCTTAATAATTTATATATTGTTTATTTTCACTATGATTTAAATGTTTGTGTGCGTGTGCGTCGTCTGCTGCGTTCTAGACGTATACACGGAGTTAATTAAAACACATTCAAATTCGTATAAATATTCGAGATGAAAGGAAAAGAAAATGGCGACGAGAAAAAAAAATTTCTTAATTGGATTCAACGGTGAAATTACCTATTGGCTCTTCCCCCCGCTTTTTTGTTGCTGTTGTTGTCTTTAAATTGTACATTGTGGAAAACGTTTCGATAATAAAAAAAAAATTAAAAATATTAATTGTAGAACGAATGACTCAACTCGATCGAAATCCCAATTGCCCCCAAAAAAAAATTTTTTTTTTTTTCATTAAATATTTGCCGTAGATAAGGTTTTTTTTTTTTTTTTTTTTTTCTCGATCTGATGTCACAAAGTTTAAAATAAAAAGGATAAAAATATTAATAATAATAATGATAATAATAATAATGTCGAGAT